AAAGAGTACATATCAAGTGGACAAAAACAGAATGATAAATATATTGAAAATTGCGCACCTTTTAACGCGTTACCAGAAATTCCAACAAATTCTTTCAATAACTTTACCAAATTCCAGCTGCTTGGATGCTATTACACACACAATATTTGTAGATTAAGAATTAAAATATTAATATTTGTAGATTAAGAATTAAAATATTTTTTTTTTCCAAAATACAGTGTCTCCAAAAAATCAAATGTCATCTAAGTCACCACCTTTGCTGGATCTGCATTCTTGAGAACTATTTCAGTTACCACTGCTTGCATGTACCTAAAGGACAATCAATTAGTTTAGTGCGCTCGGAAAAACGGGAATCTTTACACGTGTAAAAAAACAATATACTTCAACATAGTTGCAGTAGTCAACACAAAAAAAATTACATCAGGTTGACCATAATTTTGTTCTGTTTTTTTATTAACCTGAGATATTTGGTTAAGTACTAGAGACAACTTGCCTCACCAAACATGCTATGCAGTACAAAGAGAAAGAAGATAGAATCTACACGAAGAAAACCAAATATCAGAAAGTGAAAAATAGCTCACCGATAAATGTGCTGCGAGCAACTCTCAGGATCGCCTGTTAAAATTAATTGTCGAAGATCATAGACATGCTTTCTTTGCACCTGTCATCACAATCTCCAGTTTTTATAAGACGATGAAAAAGTAAACTGAAAGCTTTGTCATTAGAATGTCAGTAGAGACACCCTCGTTGTTGAGTAATTACATTCCTTAAATGACCCAATAAGAATCAGGTAAAGTTACAAAACCCACACCTGAGGTATAGGGTAGCTATACAAAACCCCCCAAAAGGTTTTACGTATTCAAAAAATCATTTGATATTTGATTCCGTATTATATGTAATTAACTTTAAGAATCGATTTAAAGCATGGTCACCTACCAACAGAATAACTGCATAGATTGATTTTAACTAGAACAAAGCAGCATCACACTATTCTGAAAATATGTCATTTTTAAATACAACTGCAAGTATTTTGAGATTTCTCACCATGCTCACCAAAAATAATTAGTTATTGAAATTAAATCGAAAAGAAGAAGATGCTAGGAGGTACCTCTAATACTTCATCAAACTCAACGAGACTCTTTCTTATACCGAAGAAGTATTTTTCAGCATTAATTTGCAAGCCCAATAGCTGAAAGTTGGTATCGTGGATTAGCTAAACTGAACCCTTAGAAAAGTAAACCAAGGAGAAAAATAAATGGAAAGGACATGCGCCAATAAATAAATAAACCTTACCTGTTTCACAACAGACTGACCTTCTATCGGGATATCCTCGTTATTTGTCATTCTAGATATAAGGTTTACAGCCCATTCCGTGTCAAAATTGAACTTCTGAAACATCTCATCCTGCAAGCTGTTCAGGACATTCAAATTAGTAATGAGGTGAATGATAGTGAAAACCAAAAATTAATTACAGCTCGATTATGCAAGTTGCTGAAGCTAAGTCCTCACTGCATTATTGATTTACATAGATTTTTATGTGTACATTTTCCATAAGATAAAAAAAGTCGAAAAGAAAATGAGAAGTCAAGAAAACGAGTTTTGACATATGAGTTACCAGATCTTCAGTTTCTTGAAAACTTACCTCACCATAAACCGTGTCGAACCAGGATCACCTTGTCTTCCTGCTCTGCCTCGTAGCTATTCAAGAAAATGATAATAGTAATAATATTGAAAACCAATAAGTAACAAGATACAAAATATTTAAAACATCATAGAAACTAAATGAGAGAGAGAATTCGAGAAATCGAAAATAACACATTACAACTCTGTTCCACCAAATCTTCACAGCAAAAATCAGCTGGCTAGGACTCACGATAGGAACATGAAAAATACCTTTGAACTTTAGTCTAATTTAATAATTAAAAAAAAAAAGTAAAAAGAAAAAAGAATAGAGAAAGCAAGAAAGAAAAAAAAAGTACAAAAGAAAAAAGAATAGAGAAAGAAAGAAAGAAATCAAAATTACAAATGCATCTTCAATCAAAATCTTGAGAGGGGGTTATTTTTAGGTAAATACAAACATCAAACTATCAAAGGAATGTACTGCTCATACGCTTTAAGGGAAATCATAATTTTTGGAAAATAAACTCAGTTAAACTTCATGGATAGTTCTCTGCAACTATCAGGGAAAATCTTAGCAACAAACAGAAAATGTTCTCGAACCGGGCAATTATCCATACCTTACTTTCTCCTGAATCAAGAATCATTTACTATAGGAATACATGTAAGTCTCCAGTAATAAAAGTAACCATTTAATGCACTCATAATATTTTAAAAAAATTACAATCAAAATGAATGTTCACCTGGTTATCAATCCTCCTAGACTCGTGTAGAGATGTGCCGATCACATGAAGACCTCCGAGCCTCTTAACTTCTAATCCTTCGTTCAAACAGTGAGATTCACAATCCTTTAGAACCGATAGATAAGCAAGAGCTATACTGGGGCCTAAAGGGTACATCTCTGTCTGCTCATTAACGAGCTTCCATAATTCTGAGGTTTCCATTGACTGGCTGAGCTCAATAGACTCCGATATCAATTTTCTTGCCTCACCGCAAGTCCACTTTTTTCCCTTACTTTTACATACATATTTTGCTGTTATTATTAACAAAGTGGTTTTTGTTAGAAAGGGAAAAAAAAAAGTATCAATCAAACAAGGAGAGAAAAACCGACTCGTGAAGCCAAATATTGTGTAGTCGAGTAAGGATACTAACACATAAGTGCAGTCTTAGCAAGCAAGCCTGCTGATGATGGTCCAACATTAACCTTAGATAAAACCTGCAAGGCAACAATATAAAAATAACAAATGGGAGGAGATAATATAGATATTATATTATGCTTTCTTTGTTACTCAGGGTAAAATCAGTTAAAACCTTATCTGAAGATGTCCCAGAATCAACTTCGGGATCAGGAACATTTTTTGTGAGGGATGAAAGCAAATTGTCCTCCAAAATCTCTTTAGCAAGCATCTGAGAAAAAAAAGATACGCAAAATTGACATAATGTTTTCAGAAATTTGACATTTATCAAATACATCATGGAAAATAACTTCAACCTTTGGATTTCCTCCTAAAATAATATCAGTGCCCCTGCCGGCCATATTTGTGGATAGAGTAATTGCATACTTTCGACCTGCCTGGGCAACAATATCGGCTTCTCTGGCGACATACTGCAGAAGATAAAATTTTGTAAGTCTTCCCAAATGAAAATAGAAGCACAAAAATTAAATGAATTTAAAGATCATTAGTCACGCAATAAACCTTGGGGCGAGCATTAAGGACATTGTGGGGTATATTTCTCTCCCTCAATAAAGCAGACAGGTATTCGGAGTGTTCAACACTGCTCCAACAATCAAAATACATCATGAGAACCACCAATATTTAATTTTAAATGCAAACAGCATCAATGAACAATATTCTTTTTCGTCCCCCCATTTTTTAGGAAGAAAAAGGTGAGTGCAAATAGTATAAATAGAAAGAATCGTTACAAATAGCCCACCATGATTTTATTCCTAGTTATAAAGAAATCCAGTCATCTTCCAAAACTACACATACCTCTTCCTGCTATTACAAACAATAAGCCCAGTTTATCATATTTAATTAACAAATGCCCCCCACTATACTATGGAACTTTTAGAGTTAGAACAGAAATCATGTGGTAACTCAAAGTTCTCATCCATAACATCTTAATAATGTTAATCAATGTTGTGTGCATCATCTTAAGGACTACATTTTCAGCTTCACAACTTTTGACTTGCCGTACTTTGGATGAGTTGTCCATTAACATGCACCATTTTGCAAGAGAATAGACAGAAGATACCTAGTTGTCCCAACCAATACAGGCCGGCCTATGCGAAACATGTACTGAATTTCTGCACAAGCATATTCCCATTTCCCTCGAGCAGTCTGAGACCACGCACCATTCAGAAAATGAAAAAGTCAAAAGATTGGCTTTGGAAAAGTTGAGATATAACACACACACACACACACACACATATATATATATGTATACTTCACTATCTTACTGCAAATGCTTGCAAGAGAAAATCTTGACGAATATTAGGCATATTCGTGGGCACTTCAATAACTGGCAGCTTAAACATCTTCAGAAATTCCTTCTCCTAGGGTAACAAACAAGGAAGATCTTTATATATGAGTTTTATTATACCCTTCAAGCATCATTGAAATTGAAAAAACCACTTCGCTTCATGGAAATGCAAAATACCTCCGTCTTTGCAGTCCCAGTCATCCCTGAAAGCTTTGGATATAGTTTGAACAGTGATTGGTAGGTAATTTGGGCAATGACAACACTATCAGCCTAAAAAATTTCCGAAAGCATGAATGTAAAACGAAATTGCATATTAAAATCAAAATCACCACTTAAATCCAAAAATAAAAAGGAAAATAAAATGTAGAGCCTTTGACACCTGAATTTTCAGTCCTTCTTTGGCCTCCACCGCCTGATGGATTCCCTCAGACCATCGCCTTTTTTCTTCTACTCTACCAGTCAACTGCCATAAATAACCATCAAATAAATTAAATAGGTTATCAGCGTGGCAATTTCAGGAATCTACTTTTAGCTTTATTGACCTCATTGATTATGAGAGCCTTATCATTTCGGATCATGTACTGTACATCCCGCCGGTAAAATTCTTTAGCTTTTATTGCATTTAAAACAAACCTGAAACATTAGAATGGGATATTTAATAAATCATCAAAAAAAATGCAGAAAAAAGTTGAGCATCAGACGGTGATATCTGTTGTCCATAAATATGGAAAGGAACGAGTTCAAGAGTGATCATGCAAATATAAACATAAAAATGATAGATTTCTTCAATGTTCACCTAGCCCAAGGATCATTCTCATCCCACAAGTCATTCGTTTCTAAGGCCATCTCAGCCAGTAGTATACCTTCCTCCGTAAGTTCCACTGAATTATCTTTCAGCTCCACCTTGTAATGCTTTCAGGAAAATACAAAATGTTAAAAAGAATCCTATATATTTTTAAAGCACGATCCTTGATTTTTTTTTGTAAAGAACCAAAAAGTGGACTCACAAGCCCTTGTATCAGCAACTCAGCTACTTTAGCGGCAACTGGATACCGTGCAGCATCTTTAGTTGCCTGCAATAATTAAGTATAAGTAGAAAAAAGAAGGAGAAGGAGAATCATTTTCAGATGACCTTAGTTCAATTACTAGGATCTAAAGAAAATATTCATGTTAAACTACATGTTTTCCAGTATTCTTTTTTGTTATAGGATTTGTCATTACTATTTTAGGCATCCAAAAAAGTGAGTGAAAAACTGCAAATAAAATGTTAGATCAGATTGCTTGACAATAGGAAAGCCACTTAAACATCTTAGTAGAAGATTCCAAAAATGTGCAAATTACCGAATCGCTTATTAACAACGGATTTCGTCCTTCATCAATGAGAACTGAATCTACTTCATCGACAATCGCAAAATGGAAGGGTTTTGACCTGTTTCATAGCATAATAAATTGTCGTTATTATTTATGAGACTACACCCAACTAGGCAGTTATAAGAACTAAGAGGCACCACCTCATCACAAGTTGTTCTCTGCTTCCACAAATGTTATCTCGCAAATAATCAAAGCCAAGTTCCTAAGGTCATAAAGAAATAAAAACAACAAAAGGATCTCATGAAAGCAAGAAGTTGAATAATAAATCAACGGCAAATGCAAACTCGAAACAGAATCTCCCAATAAGTTTATTCAGAAAAAAATAAAATTTTAGTAATTTGTTGCCATATTTAATATGCTGAGATTCTTACAGAATTATTGGTGTACGTAATGTCACATCTATAGTTCAATCTTCGCTTCTCAGGTGTCATTCCACCCTGCACACTCAGAAAAAAACACAATATAGTAATAATTTAGTGTCAGATATATGATGTCCACTAAACAAACTGAAGTCCTCTTTTACGTTATTTTATATTTTAAATTAACCTCTAGGACATACGATAACCATAGTGATCCTTAAGTTTCACATCCCATCTGGTCACATGTGCCCAAGCATCACTATTGTCCCTTACAGTTTGACATTTTCAAGATTCAAAAGTCCATTTACACTTTTACAGATGTCAAGGTAAGCGCATTAGAGATAAGCCATGTCTAGACAACACATATACATCCACTGAAACCATAAAGAAATTAATAAAGGAATAAAAGAAAGAACATTCACTCGCTGATGTCATCCTTTTGCAGTTAGACCAGTTAAATGTCTGGTTATTTCACGACTCACTTCTAATTTAGAATTTAGCATAAATCAAAGTGAATTCTGGAAAAACTTACAATATAAAAGGTACTAAATAATTTGACGGAGCGGGTTTTCTACATGATCTTTCTTTAGTAAAAAATCATTGCACACGTAAAGTAAAGGGCTTTCAGAAAAGAATTACTTGGATAAGTCCAACTGAGAGACCTAAGAATCGATGCACACGACCCATCCACTCAGCATCACGCCGAGCAAGGTAATCATTTACAGTAACAACTGCCACAGGGAGTAAAATATGTTTGAGTTTGGGGCCCTAAAAACACAAAAGTTCACAAAACCAAAAAGAAATAAAGAAAGGAAGAAAAGGAAAGATATCATTTATGCTATGCACAATTGATTATGCTGTAACCCTGACAGAGTCAATTGTGTGATAGAATTGTAGAGTATCAAAAATAAAACTAACTACAGCACAAGGGTAGCCTGAACCAACAATAGCAACCTCTAATTAGTGACATCAGCCTGATCTGGAACTAAGTACATTCAGTATTATTAGGTCTCTAAGAACAAATAAATGACAAACATACCATGAACACCTTCTCCACTCAGAGCATTGAGATAAGCTGCTAAAGTCGACACTAAGGTTTTCCCTTCTCCAGTTTTCATTTCTGCGATTGACCCATCATGAAGCACAGCACCGCCAATAATCTGTAATATGATATTTCAAGGGATGAGCTTATGAAGAAATAAAAAGTATTATGGTTGCAACATCAAAGAGACTACACTAATAGTGAAATGTGATGTGTGGCATCAAGTACGACATCTTGACATCAAAATAGTTTTACACTAATAATCTGCAATATGAAATTTCAAGGGATGAGCTTATGAAGAAATAAAAAGTATTATGGTTGCAACATCAAATAGACTACTCTAATAGTGAATGTGATGTGTGGCATCAAGTACGACATCTTGACATCAAAATAGTTTTAACAAAAACTATCAAACCAAAAATAAATATAAAAAATACACAAGTAAAATATTGATAGGTTACATGATACTTTATTTTGATTGGGGAAAAAAATCCAAATCCTTGGTTATCTAATAACCCAAAAACCAACATATAAGTTTACAGATTTCTCTTAGTCCTTTACCCATGCAAAAATTATGATGACGTGTTTGTCAATACAAAACCTGAACATCAAAGTGACGCATTCCAAGCTTCCTTCTAGCAGCTTCGCGAACGACAGCAAAAGCCTCTACGGAAAGAGAAAAAAATGTATCAATAAAAATACTATGATTTCAACTCATGAAAGCAAACAGTAAAATGAATCTAAAAGAGCCATAAATATATCATCAAATCAAACTGGAAGTTGTAATAGTAAACCCATAAACAAAGCTTCTACATATATAAAAAAACCGAAAGTCTTTGACCAGAACTCGTCTGAATCCAGTAATGTTATAAACACACCAGCTTGAATATCAGCTAGAGTCTCGCCCTGTTCCAACCGCTGGCGAAATACAACAGTCCTCGAGCTCAACTTCAAGAGCAAAAAGGATGGGAAAAATAAAAATCACATATAGCCATTCCTAATATTACCAAACTGGAAAATAAGAAACACACACACACATATAGAGATACAGTAAAACCATATTCAACCTGTTCATCAGAAAGATTTTGAATGTATGGCTCCAACTCATTTACTGATTTTACGAGTCTGTAATAATCTCTGACCACCCAGTGGTTCAAACTGGTTAAGTCGGTCCACGATTTCTTAAAGCCACCAATTTTTTCCTACAAAGATTACAACTTTTTCCTCATAACCACATGCTCGAAATGACAAGAAGAAAATTAGTGATTCTCCTAACCCCACCATGAAAGGACTACAATTTTTTATGAAGAAAAAAGTGTACCCAATAAAGTGGCTTATAAAAAACGTACCTTGAGAGAGGCTGAGATTGGGGGGAGAGTGAGCCCGCGCCGTGTTTGGAGAGAGATAGGAGAGAATGGAATAAATAAGGTATTTTTGGGGAATAAGGGAGTGGTGACTCGCCGGCGGCGGAATTGCGGTGGCGGGAGGAGGACGGAGGAGGAGGTGAGGGTGCTCATCGGAGTTGGTACGTTGGCGGTACCAAAGCTGCTCGCTGGGTTTTACGAGCTAAGGTTTAAGGATCAATCATTTTTAACTCGTAAAAGAAATTATGTAATAATTCAATTAATTGTGCACTCAAATCGTGTTTTTCGTGATTATTAGGGTGTCACTTAAAATGTCACTTAAGCTTCGAACATTTTTTTTTTTTTCCTTGTTATTTGCCAGGGGGTAATAAAATATTTTGGTTTACCTGACAGGAAAATTTCATTGTAGGCTTGATTTTTTGTTATTGTGTCACAATAAGTCCTAAATTTTTAACTTTTCCATTTGAAAGTTTCAATTTTAAGTTATTCTCAATATAAGACTTACTTTTACATTCTACTTTTCAATTTAAGACTCCAACTCACTTTGTATGTAAACAACAATACTTTTTTTAAAAATTTATTTTGTAAGTACTTGTAATGAAAAATATTAAATATCTTTAGTAAAATTATCTAATAAGATAATTATTTCATAATTTAGATTTATGCAAAAACTTGATGAAATTTATTTTAAAAAATAAAAAATAAATTTTAACTTAATTTGAATCTAAATATGTGATAACATTAAAATATAAACTATTTAGAAAAATAGTTTGTTTTTTTAAATAAACTTATAAAAAATATTATTTGTGAATAAAACTACGTACAATATAGTTTTCTTGGTATTAATTTTAGATATTCTTAAATTTTTAGAATTTTCTGGGTGTTAATTTTATATATTCTTAACTTTTTCAAAAATATAAATTTTATTCACAAATAATATTTTCTGTAAGTTTATTTAAAAATAAAAATAAAATTATTTTTCTAAATAGTTTATATTTTAATGTTATCACATATTTAGATTAAAATTAAGTTAATCTTTTTTTAACTTTTAAAATAAATTTCTGTAAATTTTTTCATAAATGTAACTTATGAAATAATTATCTTATTAGATAATAAAAATATTTAATATTTTTTATTATAAGTACTTAAAAAAATAATGTATTGTTGTTTACATAATTATATCAAAATACAAAGTGATTTAGAGTCTTAAATTGAAAAGTAGAATGTAAAAATAGATCTTGTATTGAGAATAATTTAAAATTGAAACCTTCAAATGAAAAAGTTAAAAATTCAAACTTTATTGTGACACAATAACAAAAAGTTAAATCCTACTATGGAATTTCCGGACACACTATAGTAAAAATTGAATTAGAAATCTAGAGCTTCATTTGATAAGTGCGAAGCTTTGGAATTTGATGGTATTATTATTATATATTATTATTATTATGTTTAAATTTTAAAGTATTTTACGTAAAATTATTTTATAGATTATAGAGTTTATTCTCAATTTTGAAGCACACCAACAAGGTTCGAATATTCCCATGTTAAATGTACATTTCGTTTTGATTGTCAATGTCATTATGTCAGCCCACAAGTCCTAACTCAATACATTAAAATAAAGGAAAATTAGATTGGTGCACCTTTAGAAATATTTGTTATCAACAGAGTTGTGATTCGTGAGCGAAACCGTTCTTGAAAAAATCCCTATTTTGTATATCAAAATTCTACTATTAGATAGTCGTTCATCTCTTATTAAAAAAATATTTATAATATATATATATATATATACAATTAAATGTTACATTTTATTTCTATTATTTTTAAGTGTGTTGGTATTATTTCTTGAAATATAAATTTTCAATATAAAAATAAATATAATCACTGAAAAAATACAATTCATTCAATGGGTAGCCATGCAGTCACCAGATTTTCTAAGCAAAGATAACAATCAAACATTCTGAATACATCCGTATACTTTTGACTTAAGCCTTGCAGTCACCAGATTTTCAACCGGGAAAAAACAAAGAAATAGCAGCACAAGACTACTAGGACTAGAACTGTGCCACAAACATAGTTCGTAACTACGCAGTAGTACAAGTATCGCATTCTAACAGAACAGACATGAAACACGCATCCTTCACCAACAAGCAAGAATTATAATCTTGATTCATCATATTATCTACTAACATCTCCCCAAGAACAGCTTCTAGTAAAGACAAAAACCGAAGCAAAAGAAAATAACCCATATAATCTAGATTAGTGTATTATCTTTCCGGCTCATCTCGACAAAGTTGATACTCGAATGAATATTTGCACAAAAAATGGATTCTAAAAAGTTCAGCCCGCATCACCAAGGCCATCATTTCCCATTGCCTCTCATGGAGATCCGAGCATAACTCCGTGTTTCTATTTTCTATGGAAATTTCGGCATTTTTATGTAATACTGCCCCCGGTGATGGGTATGGCCGTTGCTGGTATAAAGGACCCTGGAAATACGAAATTTCAAAATTCTAAAAAAACCCAACAAAAAAAAGCCACATTTATCTTTCAAAATAATGAACAAGCCCTTCAGGTGTACCAAACACAGCTTTTGGGGCATATGTATCTATCTAGCATATACTCCATCCAATCGATAAAGAGCAAATAAAGTCGAGGTTACTGCAGTTTATAGCGATAATTGGCTCATTCCGTACTTGGCTGAACAGGGGTAGCAGTGTTTGTAATTAACGCAAAGTATTAAGTCTTGCCTGACATGTGAAGATAAGATAAGCAGATGAGAAATAAACAAACTCCAATCCTTCCTCCCTAGTGCAGAATCCTGTTTAAAAAAAAATATCTATATCATGAGCCAAAGCAATATAGAACTGTATAAAACGGTCCATTTGGTGATGTAAAATGGAAAACTGATTCATAGCTATTGTTCTAAGACCAAACTCTTACGTCTTTTCAGAAGTACAGTAACAAGATCATATAAATCCAAGCTTAGAAGAAAATAAAGACTATCATTCTTCAGTTTTCAGTATCATGTTGAAATTTTTGCTGATAATGTAATTATCGTGTAACTGCAAACCTAAAATACATGAGAAAATATAGAACACATCAAAACACTGGAATACTGACATGGGCAATACTGAGCAGAGAATACAAAGCAACTGTTTCCCGTGAGTACTTTATGTCGAACTTTTCTCTTTCTCATACCGAGCAAGATGGTCATGATATTCTTCCAGTTCATTCTCCAACTTCTCAATGAACTGGCTTGTATGCTCCAGTGACTGCTCATGTCTATATTTCTCCATAGCCTGTTAATTTAATNAAAAAAAAAAAAAAAAATCAAACTATGAGAATTCAACAACAAAATGTAGCAAAGAAAAATGCACCATCAAGATATCTCCCAGTATAAAATTAGCCAACATATTAATATCAAAAGAAAAGGTCATACCTTTGCTTTTGACAGAGTATTTGTAGGCGATATGACGTCCGCTTGGACATAATTTTTACCCCTGTAGAATATTATCACATTATTTGGCTTTATGTCGATAACGATGCCTTTGCTTAACCTAGCAAGTTCCTCTGCGTATTGATGCACTTCCCCAGGCTTGCATGGTCTGCAGACGACTTTCATCGTCTCATGATTCTTCCAATGGAGATGCATATTAAGAACAACACCTCCAAAGACACCTCGTCTACCGATTGGAACTTAGTGTTTCTTTCTCTCTCCCGTTCGCTTGAGGTAAAACTTTTCCTCCTCAGTCAATATTTCGGGATCGTAGGTCTCAGGTGGTGCTTTGAGCAGCTCATATTTTCTCAGTTTCTCAATCAACCATGCTTCTTTTCTCTTTGCCTGAAAGGCAAAATAGAACTATTATATATTTCTTATATATGTATGCAAAAATAAGTATGTATCGAAAGGCTATTAAGTATTTAACAACCTTTTCAAGCTTGTATCTTATTCTAACTTCAGGATTGGGAGAATTCATTTTCTTCTTCGCTTTCAGTCGATAAAACCTAAGTTCATTAAGTTTTGCCTTTCTCGACAATTCGAATTTTCTTTTGTCTACTTTCACTTTCCTTGAAGGTGCTCCTTCGGGACTCTGATTCCCGATGTTAAATCTGATAACGTCTCCATCTGTATTTAGATCTACTGGTGCAATAGTTGCGTGTCTAGCATATCCCCTTACCATGGTCACACTATGAGGTCCCAAAAGATATGGCCTTCTTATACACAAGGAATTGACAAGGTTAGTTCCACATGACAAATTGGGGACATATTTCTCCAAATAAGGATATAGCTTGTTTACACGCCCAAAATGACTCGAAGAATGTGTAATCTTCGTGTTTTCTACTGAGCAAGGGGAAGTCGAAATGGTTCCAACCAGTGATTTGAAATGAACCAGATACTTGCTGCATAAGATTATATGATCCATCACTAAATTCACACTGACATGAATAAAAAATAATGATTCAACTAATTATCATATGCGAAACAGAAACAAGGAAACCAAAAATTACCAAGAAAAATTCTACTGGATAGGTGGCAATTCCAAAAACGAAATGGAAACATAAGAAAAATTTGTGTGTCACTTGAAAACACCAATGTGGTAAATGTGGTATGCATCAATTGTCTACACATTAATTAGCTTTCATACAGTAAAAGGCCAAATTACCGAAAATTAAAACTGGGGCCTGCAAATTAGAACCATAGGTCAGAAACTGATCCAAACAGCCACATTTACATTAGCAGAACACTCTCTAAGTGGGTACATTTAACAACTACAAAGACATATTAGCGAACAGCCATCACCAAATACTAAAATTAACAAACATGCATATTCAGAACATTTAGTGTGAAAGTTGAACAAAAGTGGCATTCAGAGCAAGGATGGACCTAGTGATTAAGCCAAATTCATCTTTTTTCTTGCAAGGGTAATGAATATGCATTAATCGAGCTGAAAAATTGAAAATTATATCCACATAAAACAGACACACATATTAGTACCTTGTAAAAGTGGCAGTGTCATGGTTCTTCCTGAAGATGATCCTCGGTAAACTGGAGAATTCAAGAACGGGGCATCTTTGATGTCTCTTTTTTCCTCCTACAAAAACTGAGCATCCGAAAATATTAGCATTAAGACGAGAGGAACACTACATTCTGCTGCTTTTCATCTTCTGATATCCCGACAATCCCGTCTTCAATTGTTATTCAATTTCCATCCAAAGCACGAGCTCTTTCTTTAATGTTCTTTAAAGATACCAGGCCTAGATATACCATCGTGTTTACTTCAAGGAAAAAAACAAATAGTTGACATCGGAAAAAGAAGGGGACTGGGGATTAACTTGTACTGATTTTAGTAGACCTTCCCTTCTTAATTCGACAGAGGCTTGCTCAAAGCCACAAAAACAGAAAAAACAAAAAAGACAAAAAAAACAAAGAATCAGACAGCCTAACTAACAATAATACTAACAATAATACTAAAACATTAAAAAAATAATTAGCCAATAAATGTAGTATAATGGCACACTCCATTAAAACACAGAACCCTAAATTCAGCGTACCTTAGAAATAATTTAGAAGCTGCCAATTGGGAAAGTCGAGTGAATTTTGAAATGCCCGGTACAAAAATGCCTCGTCGATGCAATTGAAGCAATCTGTACAAGACTCTAATCGAGTGATTTGCTTGATGTATGTGGGTTTGTCTGGCGGCATCGACACTGTTGGGTTATCTTGAGGCTGCTCAACTTGTGAAGTCACTGATTTTGAATAATGGGGTTAACCCAATCTGATCTCCAAATACACACTCACAGTAATATATAATGGTGATTTGTGGTATTATTATTCCCCTCGATCTTAGGCAATATGACGGCTTGCCTTTGCCTGTCTCAAAATTTTCGAGGCCTTTCGGATATGCACCGACCTAAAGCTTCAAGCTCAGAAATAGAATCTTTCTGATTCGTTGAATTCAGACCATAAAGCAAGCATGAAAGTCTTTTTCCTCACATTTAAATAGAGGAGTGTCCAAAGGACGAGAATCAAGCATGTCTGCACGACGCAAGAGATCTAGGGCATCTTTTTCTGCTGACGAAGGATAACAGTGCGACCCTGCCGATAAACTTCCATACCAATAATAACGTAGTGTAGAGGGCTGGCTCATCAATCGAGTACCCTTGGAAGAACTAAAAAGAAAGAACTCACTAGAAAGGAAGCTGAGAAACCTGTCGAACGAGGAAAGGCAAAAGGCAAGGTGGTGAACTCTTGGTTCCATTGTCTAGAGGCCTGTTTGAGGATATGAAATTGATTGGTTTTTT